CTGCAGCATTTTACCCGTCCTGTATTCAGCTATGGGTCTCAGTCAGTCAGTTAACAGGAATCAGGGTCTGTATATAATAAAGCAGCAAGAGCCTCATAGTCTGTAACCAGGATTGTGGGTAAACCCAGTTGGTAAAACGGTTTCAGCTCGATTCTGAGGGTTCGAACAGGAGAGACCAGCTGGGTGTGACCTCTGACCTCCTGATGTTCAGGACAGCTGTGAGGCATTCACTGACCACTTCAAACATTCTAATATATTGTTTTCACATCACATAAAGGATTCAGGCTTGACCTAACTGAAAATGGAATAAAAATCACACTTTAATAATAAAACAGATTCAGATTTACTGATCAGATATCAGACTGATTCTCCCGTTGGGGTTGGGTCAGTTTCTGGTTCAGATGAACCGGTTTGCAGGTTCTAGGTCGATCAGCTCCTCTCCAGCTTTTCTGCCAGCTGGTTCTGGTTCATGTTCCTCAGCGTCTCCTCCTTGGCTCTCTCAGGACGGTACTGCTGGATCATCAGATCCACGGTTCTGATGGCGTCTGCATCCTCCAGACGACTGACGGCGACAGGGTCGGGTTGAAGGGTCAGAAGGTGCTGAAACGTCTTCAGGTCTTCAGATCTGAGATCAGTCAGGATCCTGAACAGCTGCAAGGTCACGTCTGCTGGGTCAGAGCTGCGGTGAGCCGGTCTGCGCCAAGACTCTGACTCACCTGTCAGCTTGACCACCTCACTCCAAACCTCACAGTCTGCAGAGTCAAAAAAACAGCCAATCACAGGGTGCAAAGCCACATGGCACGTCAGCTCCAGCATCACCATGGTAACATCAGGGAGCAGTCGGACCTCAAATGAAGGCAGGAAGTTGTCGTAGGCGGTAAAGTTCAGGAACTTAGAAATCTAAAATAATGAGTTAAAGGAAGGTAAAGTAGTGGTGGAGCTTTAAGTATAAGGAGAGAAGCCAAGCTAAGAGACTGGATGAAGTCTAGTCAGGTGTAACTGGGGCGAGGCTAGAATGGATGAAGGTGTACCTTTGGTTGGATGACAGTGACAGATGCTCCAGTCAGTTTGTACATCTGATTTGGGATCAGTTCACAGTCTGGAATTACTTCCAGATATTCAGCTCCAGTCCGTCGTTTGAACTCCTTCCTCACCTGAAGAAGATGAAACATCAGAGCAGAAGTTATCCAGATGACCAACCCTGACCCCTAGTGTTTTCCAAATTTACTGTCCACTGCCAAGATGGTTCCATCCAACCAACCAACCAACCAACCATCCGTCCAATCGTCCATCCAACCATCCAATCATCCATCCACCTATCCGTCCGTTGGTCCATCCGTCCATCCATCCATCCATCCATCCATCCATCCATCCATCCATCTGTCCGTCCGTCCATCCAACTGTCCAACCATCCATCCGTCCATCCATCCATCCATCCATCTATCCGTCCGTCCGTCCATCCAACTGTCCAACCATCCATCCGTCCATCCATCCATCCATCC